CTGCTGCTGCTGCTCCTGCTGCTGCTGCTCCTGCTGCTGCTGCTCCTGCTGCTGCTGCTGGGACTGCAAGGTCTCTGAGGCATCTACAGGAGCAGCAATTTGTTGCTGCTGCTGCTCTTGCTGCAGCATCTGCTGCTGGCGCTGCTGCTGTTGTAGCTGCTCTTGCTCAAGCTGCTGCTGCTGACGCTGTATCTGCTGTTGCTCTTGCATATGTTGCTGCAGCTGCTGCAGCTGTTTCTGTTGCTGCTGCAGCAGCAGCAGCTGCTGCTGCTGCTGCTGCAGGTATTGCTGCTTGTGGGCAAGGGCTTCTTGCGCCTCTGTAAGGCAGGCAAGAAGAGACCCTGAAGGCCCTGATGGGGGCTCTCCACTCAGCTCCGCATTCCCACTTGGGTTGCTGCTGCTGCTGCTGCTGCCGCTGCTGCTGCTGCTGCTGCTGTTACTGGCTTCACTGCTGGCAGCAGCAATTTCGTCAGCCGGCTGTGACATTCTGGGCTCCCGCTGCTGCTGCTGCAGCAAAGAGAAACAACAGAGTCTTCTTTAAATTGCGGCGTATGCTGGCAGTGCTGCTGCTGCTGCTGCTGCTGCCACAGCAGCAGCCGCAGCCGCCGCAGCAGCAGCCAGTGCTGCTGATGCTATCGCTGCTGCTCCAGGCTGCAGGAGGGGGGGGTGCAGCCGAGAGGAGGGAGAGGTCCGAGGCAGAGAGAAATAAGGAGAAGACAGACAGCTGCAAAGAGGCAAACAGGAGCAAACAGAGACGCAGCAGCAGCAGCAGCAGCAGCAGCAGCAGCAGCAGCTATGGATACACCGCACTGCTGCGCGTTCGCTGCAGGGGTATTAACAGAGAAGAGAAGAAGAAAGAGCAGCAATAGGGGGCCTTGAGATAAGCAACAAGTAAATGTTTAATACTGAAGTGTGCTGCATGCAACAGACAAATTCATGCATGCATTGTTTCTGCTGTATGTACAGACAGCAGACGGACGCATGCAAGGCCCCCCCTTTATAGAGATGTCGATGAAAGTCTCGGCGATATTTATTTGTTTTTATATATTAATTTCAGTTTATTTTTATTAAATTTAAAACAATTTATGCAAAACAACCAAAGGAAACCACCAACGCCTACAGAGAAAGTCAGCAGCTGCAGCGGTTCCTTCTGTATGCATGGCGCTTATATGAAGAAAGATACAATAAATGATAAATAATTTGTTTTTAAGGTTAATTTTTTGTTTTATTTTGTTATTTTTTTGTTTTATTTTGCTTTTTATTTGTTTTTAATTGAAGAAAAACTACCAACTGATGCCTCTCAGTCGTTCGCTGCTCCTGGGTTGTGCGTGGCCGGTTGGGGTGTACAGGCAGCTCCAGAACGAAGAAAACGGCATATTATGTGTATTTATTTTNGTGCGTGGCCGGTTGGGGTGTACAGGCAGCTCCAGAACGAAGAAAACGGCATATTATGTGTATTTATTTTGATGTTTTTATGTTTTTCTTTTCTCCTAGTGTAACTAAGACCTTAAGAGCTTATATATACATATATATGTCTACGTATACACAAATATATACTTAAAATATGCGTGTATATGTAGCAACACTCATCTATATATGGTTTTATATATGTAGTTATGTACATATATATGTACATGCATGCATATAAGCTCTGTTATATGGATTTGTTCTTCTCTTTGACAACAGCAAAAACTGATTCTCATCTGTCTGTACACCTGAAGCGTCGTGCAGGCAATGAAAGAGCTGAATTCGCTGCGCTGCAGCAGAAGCAGCAGCAGCAGCAGCTGCTGCTGCAGCAGCTGCTGCTGCTGCAGCAGCAGCAGCAGCTTCATACGCTGCACAAATAGAATGAGGTGTATATGCAGGGTATGTCATGTGTGAGGTGAGGCGGGATGGGCTGTGAGCTGTCTGTACACCCGAAGACAGAAAGACGCCAGCCCCTGCATCTCTGTCTCTTGGTTGTTATATTTGTTGCACTGCGTTGAATACTGTGAAACTCTAGAGCTCAGATAAGCAAAAAAAAGACAGACAAACTAAAAACAAAAAGACGCATGCATGCATGCATGCATGCA